TAGACCAAAAAATGCGCATTTTTTTTCTGATTCCAAATATATAAAAAACTCCAGGGTCGATATACAAATGTTTGAAAAACCTATAAAGAGCATACAATGTTAACAATTTTATAATAATAGTAAATGTATGTGGTAACACACTTCCACCAGTTACTCGACTATAAACAGAATTATCACATTCAAAATCATTTGTAAGTTTTTCTATGTCATCTAGTTTGTGACTGATGATGATGATGTAAATCATGGGATATATATATATTATGTCATATTAGTTTTTTATGTCAGTTTCATATTTGGCCATTTGTATTTAGTTTTAATTCTTTTATATGTTTTGTTGAATCCAGAGTGTCCACCAACGAGACGTGAATGATTATCTTTTAAAATTTCCATGATTTGGTTTTCATCAGGGCAAACGCGATCCTGGTGAAATATGATTATATTTATTTTAGTATTTCTGAAAATAAATCTTATAATTGAATGTAATTTCGGCCACTTCAATTTGTCAAAAGAGTCACCAAGTTTAGGAATTTTCAGTGTACACTCTCCCTTCTTATTTTTAAGTAAATGCTCCCGCGCTTTTATCAAAATTTCGAAATAATTTCTGTAATCAGCTTGATCCCAATAATGTTGTTTAGCACAAATGTAATACATAAAATTATTATTGTGGGATTTAATGATTATTTTATCAACATCGACTTCATGAATTTTGAAATCCTTGAAATGATTACATTTATTATTTATTTCATTAAAGTATTCTTGTAAATAAGGATCGTATCCAAGATCACATGAGATAGGAATGCAAATATTAGCATCAATTTTATCAAATATGTTTTTATTAATCTCCTGGATATTATCATTTAAAATTATCTTCTTTTCAAATTTCTTAAGGAAATTCTCGGTAACCTATCACAAACTCGAATTTCTTTTTTTCGAATTTCATTAGTCCGAAAACGACGTTTTTTTATTAGTGCGATGACAGTTTAGGTATAAATTTGTAACACAGAAATGTCTTACCGCAGAAGTGTGTCCAAAAACCTATTGTTAGAATAATTATTACACATACGTATTCTTTGGGCAGAAATTTGTTTGATCTAATCATGTTTGTTATACTGTCTGTTTTCCATATAATTTAGATTGCTGAAAATTCGTTTCGACAAAATTACTATTCTTAGATGAAATTGTACCGCCATACAATTTTACCATACAGCTCCAAAATTCTGGATTATACTTTGCTGGTGCACAGCAAGTCCACTTACGCAATTTTCGTCATACCATTGTGCTATGTTTTTGCTGTCATTTGAAATGTAATTTAAAAACAATGGTCTTGAATATTCAATAAATAACTTATAACTGAATCGAGGAGAGTGCCAGAGCTTGTTTTTTGTGTGCAAAAAATGAAAAAATGCTGCACGATTCGAGAAACATTAGCGAGCGTGCCGTGGCAGCGGCCGGCGAGTGCCAGAGTCGAATTTGTTTGCATTACCTAAACGGTACGACTCTCTCCTGTAGATTTAGGTTAGGTTAGTATATGAAAAAGCAGCACGATCCGATCGAGCGAAGCGAGTAACTACAACTCGATCAAATTAACTTGCATCTCGTTTACCATGTTTTCTAAAGATGCGAGGTGCTTTAATTTGACGAGTTGTATTGTGCGACATGTTCAAATACTTTTAGTACCTGTAATAAGAAATAATATAACAAAAATGTATCATGGATGTCGTTCTTTTACAAAATAAAAATATTCAATTAGATACATTGGTCAAACGGTTTGTTGGGGAAATAAAAATCGGGAAAAAAATAAAAAATCTATTCAATAAAATTCTATAAATCATGTCTCTAGCTTGTGATAGGTAACCGAAATTCTCATATGTTTCTGTATTATTCTGTAATGTACGGATTCTACTTAGGGCATCGGCATGATTATTCAATCTGCCTTCTTTATAAATGATTTCAAAATCATAATCGTCCAATAAAAATCTCCATCGTACTAATCGGGAACTTGGATCTTTAGCATTAAATAACCATTGTAGAGGTCTATGATCAGTATAGATTGTGAATTAGGAGTTTCGATATGATTTGACACTTTAGAAACTTCCATGAAATTTTCGTTTTATAATATAATCTCTGTTATAGGATAAATACAAAAACTAGTCGTCCTAAATGGGCATCAAAATCACTAAGAAAGTGTTGTAAATTTAAAAGTACAAAAAAAGTACTATAACACAAAATTTTATTAAGAATAACAAGAATGTATGTATAGCGTCTTGGGCAGTCATAAAAGACCAGAACTTACAAAAATCACCCATTTTGGATATAATTGAGTTAAAGCTAAAAAACACGAGAGTGACAGAGCCATTAGAAATGGCTTTAGCTTTTAACCGATATTTCACAAATTTGACTAATGATAAGAATATTGAATCTGACAAACATAAGTATGGCAATCTATGAATGCTACAAATGACATGAAACTCATTTTACATAAAACCGTTCTTAATCTATGACATTATTAAAATAATGCAATCTTTAAACAATTCTAATGCCTGTGGCTTTGATGAAGTTTTAACAAAAAATTTAAAACAATGCAAGAACGAATTGGCACCTGTTTTGATGTACTTAATAAATCTATCATTTGAAAGTGGCATGTTACCTGATCTATTAAAGCTATCAATAGTGAAACCGATCTATAAGAAGGGCGACAAATCTGAGCTATCCAACTACCGCTCGATTACTCTTATCTCGATTTTAGCCAAAATTTTCGAAAAGTGCATGTATATTCGATTAATGGACTACTGCACAAGCATTATAAAACCAGAACAATTCGGCTTCCAAAAGGGAAAATCGACTGCTGAGGCTGTTTTCAATATTGTCGATATAGTGATTAAAGCTCTTGACACAAAAAAGCACAGTACTGTATTCTTTCTGGATTGTCTCAAGCTTTCGCTTTCGATTTCGTAGCACATGATAGATTGCTGATAAAGTTAGAGAAGTATGGTATTAAGAGCATAGCACTGAGTTGGTTTAGGTCATACCTACATGACAGACAGCACCGGGTGGAGTTAAACTATCTAGATAAAAAAATATTGACACATGCTGTTCGCATTATGATTTGAATAGGTATGGTGTTCCTCAGGGAAGTATATTAGGCCCTTTATTATTTTTGCTATATATTAATGACCTGCCATTAATAACTAAGCATAAATGAATCATGTTCGCAGATGACAATGCAATAGTCATAAATTGAATGAATAACGACGTCAATAACTATGAAACTGATATTAATGACACACTAAAATCCGTGGTAGATTGGTTGCATGTAAACAATAAACACGGCAATTTGGAAAAATGAAATATGTTCAATTTGCTGTAAAAGGACGTACACCAATCAATATAAACATTAACTATGATGGAAAGATTTTACAAAAGCTAGAGACAGTTTAATGTTTGGGTATATTAATAGATAAAAATCTTAGTTTTATCAACCCTATTGACAACGTTTGTAGCAAAATGAACAGATTTGCATACGTCCTTCGTAGGTTAAGACATGTTACTTCTAAAAAAAATTGTTTATTTGCTTAACACGTCTACATTGCGTCGGTACTGCGTTATGGATTAATCATATGGGGTAATGAAACTTATGTTGAACGAGCATTTGTAACTCAAAAAAGATGTATACGAGTTATGTGCGGCATCGGCCCACGGGATCTTGCGAGCTGCTGTTCGAGAATTTAAATATTTTGACTTTACCTTCCATGTATATTTATGAAGTTTGTAAATTTGTCAAACAGCATAATTAATTATAATATAATAAATATAGCAAAATTATTTAAAGAATTAATAGAAATTTATCCACGCGCAAAAAGAAACCTAGACAGACTTGTTGTTGAAAATATACCTAAAACTACACTGTACTTAAAAAGTTAATATTACATGTGCATGAAAATTTATAATAGACTATGTATTTCAATTGTGAAATAAAAATCTGACATTTAAAAGAATGACAACTGAACTGTATAAATACCTAGTTAAAAAAGTAGATTATAGTGTAAATGACTACTTAGAAGATTAAATTTTGCATGCTATGTATAATAAATAAATAAATATAATAGCTGAATAGATGAACTCAAATGTAATATCTACCATTCTGTAATAACCTATTTAATGCAAATAAACCTTATTTAATTTTTTTCGTTTAATTTCGTTTTATTTCCCTCAAGGCAGTCTTCGATTAGGGCGATGCCAATCTTGTCAAATTGAATTGTTTATGTTATTTGTTGGTTTTTGTCATTGACACGAATTATATCGCTGAAATCATGTATGTCGGCGCCCCAAATTAGAAGCACATCGCAACAGCGCGTGCAAGCAGTGTCAGCATAACGTGCCGGTGCAACGTGCAGCAGCAACGTGACCAACGTCAGCGTTTCCCCCAGATTGCATACTTTAGAATATTTTCACGACACTCGGTTTCTAGCATCGAACCTAGGCATTAGCTTTAGCACGTAATAATTATATTGTAATTTTTATCTTTTAATAAATTAGTTAAATTCAAATTTCGTTTTTTTTAAATCCTCCGGCGGCAGCCTACGTAATTGGCGCAGTCGGTAGGATACTCGCGGGCCGGTTCGCGAGACGTGTCAAGTTTTCCTGAAAATCCCGCGTACGCGCACCATCATCGCCCGAGCGGCTTTCAAGCCACATCACAGAGTATCCTGAATCTACGGGAGCTGCAGCCACACGGAGGAGGAGTATCAAGAAATCGATACGCAGAGAAACGAGATGAAATTGTGAGTTGCACAGATTCTTTCTTGTGTTGCTTTTCCTCTTACGTATAGTCCTTTTATTCCAAAATTTTTTATCCTAGTAATTCGAATACCAGCGAGTCTGCGCTCAGGCAGTCTCGCCGAAATAGACAGTTAGATTCTAATAGAAATTTAGATTTATCTGATTTAAATTTAGATTTAAATAGTTTATTTGATATCGAAGAGAGAGTTGCGAGCCCTAAGATGCCGCACGATCCAGATACTATTTATAAGGCTTTACGCCCGGTCCCAGATTTTGATGGGAACCCAAACGTTCTCACGCGTTTTATTAAAATTTGTGACCAGATCGTGATTACATATGTTAGTCCAAACGCCGGTAGCGAATTAGCTAATTTATGCCTAATAAATGGAATATTAAATAAAATTACGGGGCCTGCCGCCAGTATAATAAATGCGCATGGCATACCTGATAATTGGTTAAGTATTCGTAATGCACTCATCAACAATTTTGCAGACCAAAGGGACGAAACCACCCTTTACAATGACCTCTCTTTGTCTACCCAAGGTCAAAAATCCCCTCAGGAATTTTATGACCATTGTCAGACATTATTTAGTACAATTATGACATACATAACTCTCCATGAGGACGTAGCCACGACAATAGAAGCTAAACGCGCATTGTATAGAAAGCTCACCATGCAAGCGTTCGTAAGGGGGTTGCAAGAACCCTTAGGATCACGTATTCGGTGCATGAGGCCCGAAACAATTGAAAAGGCTCTGGAATATGTCCAGGAGGAAATTAACATTTCGTATCTACAGCAACGTAATGAATCGGTTAGCAAGTCACAAACGACCCCTAAGGTCCACCATTCGACTCCTATGCATACCCCAAAGCCTTCACAAATGCAAATGCCGCCAGTAATGTGGACTGTGCCTTCTATGCAAAGGCCTCTCCCGCAAATGCCGCAGCCATCCAGGTTTGCTCCTCAGCAAGGATTTGGAATAAATCCTATGCACAGCCAGTATCAGCCACAGGTACGTATGCCATCTCGAACGCAGCAAATGTTTAGTGCTAGGCCTCCCAGCTACAATCCACAGAGTAATTTATTCCGCCTCCCACCTAGGAATCAACCCAGTCAGGCCCTTGTCCCTAAAGAAATGAGCGGTGTTCAAAAATTCTACCCTAGGCCACTGCCTCCAGCAGGTGGAGCACGTCACGATTGGCGTATACACGGCAATCCTCCACCTTCTAATTACTTCAAGACCAGAGAGATGAATATGAATGTGTGTTATGATAATAATTACTATCCAGACTATGACTATGAACCTGACTACAATTACTATGCACAGAGTAATAATGAGACATACAACCATCCGGACTATTCTGACTACGACGCTACCCAGATGACCTACCCCTCTCATGATAACGTTTTGGAATATCCTGACGGTACTGATGGCGAAGATATTAACACTAATGACTATCAAAATTTTCAGGCGCACCCGAAGTCAAAAAAAACCAAAATAGAAATAAATTTACAGACACAGAGGCAATTGCCATATATTCAAATATCAAATCCACCGTTAAAGTTACTAATCGACACAGGCGCAAACCAATCTTTTATAAGCCCACGGGCTATTCAAAATTATTATCCTGACGTTCCATTAAACCATGACCCCTTCGAGGTTACGAACGTCCACGCGACCACCAGAAACAATTATTCAATTACGTTACCTTGTTTTAAAGAGTTTAACGATAAAGAACATATACGCCTCTTTGTCTATAAATTCCATGACTTCTTTGACGGCCTCATAGGACTAGACTTGCTGACCAAATGGGAAGCAAAAATTGACTTAAAAGACAGAACTCTGACTACACAATCTATGGTAAACCCGATTAAAATGTATAACTCCCGAAATGTCAATTTATACGAAGATATTATTCCCGCACAAAGCTCTAAAATAGTTAGATTACCCATTAACGCCCCGGACGGCGATGCATTTGTCCCGGAACAAATTTTTTGCAATTGCGTTATAATTGAATGTATAACGACTGTAACTAACAGCCGTGGTACGTTGGAAGTTCACAACCCGACCGATAATAACATTATACTCTCACTAGACCACTCAGTCAGTGCAGATGTACTTAATATAGAATGTGAAACATTAGCATCACCTTCACCGCGCGCTCGAGATGTAATATCGCGCTTACGAACTGACCATCTCAACGAAGAAGCGAAAGCCAATTTAATATCTTTATGTTCGCGCTATTCAGATGTTTTTTACATAGAGAATGAGCCCCTTACCTTTACTAATAAAATAAAACATCGCATTAATACCACGGATGAAGTGCCTGTCTATACAAAAAGTTATAGATACCCTTTCGTCCACCGGCAAGAAGTAAAGGATCAAATCGAAAAAATGTTATCTCAAGGTATCATACGGCCATCAGAGTCCGCATGGAGCTCACCTATTTGGGTAGTGCCCAAAAAAGTTGATGCTTCAGGGAAACAAAAATGGCGTCTCGTCATTGACTTTCGGAAGTTAAACGAAAAAACCATAGATGACAAATACCCTATCCCTAACATCAGCGACGTATTAGACAAATTAGGGAAGTGCCAATATTTTACCACCCTGGATCTCGCCAGTGGGTTCTACCAGGTAGAAATGGACCCTAAAGATGTACAAAAAACAGCCTTTAATGTTGAGCATGGGCATTTCGAATTTCTTCGCATGCCCATGGGATTAAAAAATTCTCCATCGACATTTCAACACGTCATGGATAATGTTCTCAGAGGTCTACAAAATGAGATATGTCTAGTGTACCTTGACGACATAATAGTTTACAGTACCAGTCTCCAGGAACATATGATTAACTTAGAGAAAGTTTTTCAAAGGCTCAGAGAGTCCAATTTTAAGATCCAGATGGATAAATCTGAGTTCTTGAAGCTAGAAACAGCATACCTAGGACACATCATTACCAGGGAAGGTGTTAGACCTAATCCTGACAAGATTTCGACTATAGAAAAGTACCCATTGCCGAAAACGACAAAAGAAATAAAACAGTTTTTAGGTTTGTTAGGATATTACAGAAAATTCATACCCGACTTTGCGAAAATAACTAAACCTATGACACTATGCCTGAAAAAGAACAAAAAAATTACTTTAGATAAAGACTATACTAAAGACTGCTTTGAGAAATGTAAAAAACTGTTAACTAATGACCCAATACTCCAATACCCCGACTTTACTAAAGACTTTATACTTACTACCGACGCCTCTAACTTCGCCATAGGAGCCGTATTGTCTCAAGGACATGTAGGATCTGATAAGCCAATTTCCTATGCATCCCGCACCCTCAATGAGAGCGAGATCAATTACAGCACTATAGAAAAAGAATTGCTTGCAATAGTATGGGCCACAAAATATTTTAGGCCATATCTTTTCGGACGGAAATTTAAAATTTTGACCGACCATAAACCACTTCAGTGGATTATGAGTCTAAAAGAGCCTAACTCGCGATTAACTAGATGGCGATTAAAGCTCAGTGAATACGACTTCACAGTAATTTATAAAAAGGGCAAGAGCAACACAAACGCCGATAATCGAGAATAGAAATTCACAATGAAGAAACCAGTTCAATGGTTGCCAATCCATCTGAAAAACCACCATCTGTGGATAACTCTGCTACAAATACAGCTCATACGAGTAACGAACATCCAATTCTCGAAGTACCTATAGTAGACGAGCCCGTTAACAAATATCATAGGCAACTAATAATTTCTGTCGTAGATGACTTAAAAAGGCGCCCTATCGTTACAAAACCATTTGAGACACATATCAAAGTGACTATTCAAGTGACAAAAACTAACTTGGAAAGTGATGTTATTGACGCAATAAAAGAATATGTTAACCCAAAAGTAAAAACTGCATTATTGATTAACCCTCCGTTAGCAATGTACGATATTATACCTATAATTCAAGATAAATTCAGAAGCTCTTCCATGAATCTTGTTTTGTCAAAATTCGAAATAGAAAATGTAAAGGAGTACATACGGCAACAAGACATAATTAAGGCCCATTTAGATGGGGAGAGTTTCTCGCACGCTTCGAGACGAAAACTCGTAGGCGATTCTCGTAAGCAATAATCGCCATAAGATTATCGTATCATAATGTTTACATTCAGGCAAGAACTGAAATCTCGCCTACGATTATGTCATACGAGACTCGTAAGCAACTTAATCGCCTCCTCGACTGTTTACACGGAGAAATATGTAGTGAGGAGATTCTTGCTTACGAGTTTTCGACTTGTCTAAACACGATCTCGTATGACATTTTTTCAAGTTCATACGATTATCGTACAAATCGGTTCGAACCGTTTTGAGTGCGAGAATTGCCATTCGAGTTCAGTGATTACTACGGTATGACTATGGATATATCAAAATGATGCAAAAACCATTCAAATTTGAAATTGCTGATAATATTAAGTTCATTGCACTGTATAGAAATATAATTTTGATTTATCATTTTTTTTTTAAATTTTGTAACTACTGACACAAACAAAACTGACAATTATGATAAATTTATAGGGCGAGTGAGTGCGTGTGTGAGTGCGTGAGTGAGTGAGTGAGTGCGTGCGTGCGTGCGCGCGGGCGTGCGTGCGTGCGTGAGTGAGTGGTGAGTGAGTGAGTGAGTGATGAGTGAGTGAGGGGTGAGTGAGTCAGAGAGTGGTAAGTGAGTGAGTGGTGAGTGAGTGAGTGGTGAGTGAGTGGCTGAGTGAGTGAGTGTGTGAGTGGTTAGTGAGTGAGTGAGTTGTGAGTGAGTGGGTGAGTGAGTGAGTGAGTGAGTGAGTGAGTGTGTGAGTGAGTGAGTGAGTGGTGAGTGAGCGAGTGAGTGAGTGAGTAGGGAGTGAGTAGGGAGTGAGTGGGGAGTTAGTGAGGAGTGTTTATTGAAAAGTACATTTACTTGAAAAGTCGTGTCGGCCATCTTGGATTTAGAAATAAATGCTATGTTTGTAATGAGCCCCCCCAAATACCTCAAAAACGATACCCAACTTGCCATTATTTGAAAAGTGCGGGCACGACTTTTCATCCTGGATTTAGAAAGGAGTGCCATATTCGTTACGAGAGCACCCTAAATACTATATTGCCCACGCTATATTCGACCACAGAGGCACTCACTCACTCACCGTTATTTGAAATTTTTTTTTCGCTCTTGTTCCATTAATTCTTGTCTTAGAAAAGCAGTGATAATCAAAACACCCTCGCGCGCTGCACTCGTGGTAGAAACGGCTGGCACAGAAACTCGAAATACGATTTTTGCTTTCGAGTTCTGTTTACACGGAGACGTTATTATTGAAAGGCGAGGAGATTATCGCTCACGTGGACGGTCGATAATCGCAAATGTTTAGACGAGGAAAGTTTTTTTATATTCTTTCGATAATCGTATCTTCGAGACGAGAAACTCTCTCCATCTAAATGGGCCTTTAGACAATATCATGACGGAAAGACAAACCATAGAGGCATAAATGAGTGTTACCTTGCCTTGTCAAAAAGGTACTATTGGCCAAAAATGAGAGATCATATAACTAAACATATAAACGAATGTAGTATATGTGGTCAAAGTAAATACGATAGAAACCCCATAAAACAGTGTTTTAACATCGTACCACCAGCTACCAAACCTCTAGAAATAGTTCATGCTGATTTATTCACAGTACAATCTGAAAAATTCATAACATTCATAGACGTTCATAGACGAATTTAAAATTAAAGTAATGAATAAATATAATACCAGGAGAGTCCGTGAAAGTAAATATGTATGTCCAAAAGTAAATAATTACTATGGTAAAAGAACAAATAGGTATTTCTTGCCCATTTTATTTAATAAATTTGATTTTTTGAGAGACCGTGATATATTATCTAAATTCATTTTAAAGAAAAAGTTAAAATCTTCTCTTTTAGTAGCCATTTAAATTTAGCTTAAGTAAGTACATTGATTTTGTTAAACGTAGTAAGTAGGTATACTATAGTCTCGAGATTGTGAGTGTATCCTTGCCAACAAACTGCTTTCGCAGTTTGGCGAGAAATTGTATTATGTATTTTTGTATGCCTTTTGTATAAATAAATAAATAAAATAAATAAACGTATTTTCGAAATACGGGCAAGCTTACCTTCTCAAAGACGGTACTGCAATAAGCATATTGCAAGCCCTTTTAACATTCTGTACCCACCATGGCCTCCCTCTGACTCTCGTGACTGACAACGGAACTGAATTCACCAACCAACTTCTCGCTGAATTCCTGAAACTCCATAAAATTACTCACCATAAGACCTTACCTCATTCCCCCAATGACAATGGAAACATAGAACGTTTCCATTCGACGTTACTGGAACACCTTCGTATTCTGAAACTGCAACAAAAAGATGAACCGACAGTCAATCTTATGCCGTATGCTATCATAGCCTACAATAGCTCCATCCACAGCTTCACGAAATGCAGACCTTACGACATCCTTAAAGGTCATTTCGAACCCGGGACCCCGTTGACATAGACTTAACTGAAAAACTACTCCAACAATATATAGTGACTCACCGCGAACAGATGAAGACAGTTTACGACATAATAAATGAGACCTCGTTAGCTGACAGAACGGCCCTTATAGAATCACGAAATAAATCCAGAGAACCCGAAGCTGAGTACCAACCTCAGCAAGAAGTTTTTATAAAAAACCCTTTTGCCAGCAGACAAAAGGTTGCACCTAGATATACTCATGACAAAGTCCTAGCTGACCTTCCAATTCACATATACACATCCAAAAAACGAGGCCCCGTAGCAAAGTCTCGAATAAAACGAGCACCTAAGAATATAAAATTGTTACAGGATACTCTTGGTGCTGACCTGGTCCTGATTCAAGCCCAGGATATAAGACTTGACAACCTTGACGATGGACCCGGACTTCTTCCCTTTAAACTAGGAGACTCTAGACTAACGACCCACTATCATACGTTCTTACAGTACATACAACTTGATAAGATAGAACAAAACATAATTACGTTACAGAATGAAATACAAGACTTTAAGGATAAAATTAGTAATAATACCTATTTATTATATGAACTTCAATTGAACTATCTACATAATAAAACTAATATTATTTTAGATCATTTAAATAGTTTAGAGCCGAGTAGAACAAAAAGAGGTCTAGTAGACGGATTAGGATCTATTATCAAAAGTATAACCGGAAATTTAGATTATCAGGATGCCATTAGATACAATAATGCTCTTAAAATTCTAAAAGAAAATCAAAATAAAATTGCAGTAGAGTATAATAGCCGTGCAAGTTTAAATATAGAATGGATGAAGGAGCACAATAAGATAATTAGTCAGTTAGTTGGAAATCAAGGAAAAATTAATAGTACCCTTCAGCTAATGTTATATGAAAACGCACATAAAGAAAGTAATCTTGTTAAATACGGTAAAATTGCACAATTATTAGCTATCATTACAGAAAACACTAATGATTTGTTAGATGAACTTATAAGAATTGAAAATATACTAGCTTTTACTAGAACCATGACGCCTCATCATTCTATGGTTAGTGTAAATGTTCTTAAAATCATGTTAGAGAAGCTAGGTATAATATATGGACAAGACAGGTTGATAGATTTAGATTTTAGGAATTATTATAATATTATAAGATCTGGATCATATTTTGTAAAAAAACAGATAATTCTAATTTTTAAGTTTCCCGTAGTTTCTCCAAACGTTTACAACTTATACAAATTATCCCTAGCACCTAATAAATTTCACCAAATCCTCATTCCACCCTACCCTTACATAGCAACTAATGGAAATGAATTAGCGTACATGGAGGCTGAATGACCGAAGTATGAAAATCAGTTTCTCTGTGACGAAAGTTCTCGTAAAAAACTCCGCACCCAATTCGATTGCGTACAGGAAGTAATTTCAAGACAGACCATCGACTCGACATGCACCTTCTCAACCATTCATCTATTAAAAGAAGCCATGGAGCAACTTGACGATCGCAACTATGTCATCACCTTCACCAAGCCAACCAAAGTTCAGTTGAGCTGCAACACTCAGACTTACAATATGTTAAACGGAAGCTTTCTAATTACACTGCCAATCTACTGCTCCCTGCGTACACCCGAGCTCACCATAGTAAATTCCGACGACGTCATACAGGGACAACCACTTAAGATTATGAAAATAAATTACCCGGATGGAATGGACAACACAGCATCACCTCATCTTAACTTGAGTTCTATCAACTTGAGAAGTTTACACACCATTCAAGACAAGATTATGTTCAAGCCTCAGTTACAATTGCAGACGATTCCTGATGTACTGTACCATACCACTATACCGTTTTACATTATACTATTCGGTGCAGCTGTACTCGCCCTCGCCGTACTGGCTCGCCGCTACTACGTTTGGAAAAACACACAACCAAAACCATCTGAAAAGACGATCTGCATTCGACGAGATAAAGCCACTGAAACCACTGGAAATCATATCTATGCGAAACCATCTTCTCCAGCAATTTTTTCACTGAAAGTTGGAAAATAATTGCTGATCTGAGGGTGGAGGAATTATATCGCTGAAATCATGTATGTCGGCGCCCCAAATTAGAAGCACATCGCAACAGCGCGTGCAAGCAGTGTCAGCATAACGTGCCGGTGCAACGTGCAGCAGCAACGTGACCAACGTCAGCGTTTCCCCCAGATTGCATACTTTAGAATATTTTCACGACACTCGGTTTCTAGCATCGAACCTAGGCATTAGCTTTAGCACGTAATAATTATATTGTAATTTTTATCTTTTAATAAATTAGTTAAATTCAAATTTCGTTTTTTTTAAATCCTCCGGCGGCAGCCTACGTAATTCACGACAAAACCAAGAATCAGTTTTCGAAACGCCGCGGAATCGCCATCGGAATCATAGAGAATTCCTGTTTTACAAAACTTATGCCTGTTATACTTTAAATTGCGTTAATGCGGGTAATAAAGTCGTCTAAGTAAGTCGTCCTGTCGAAGCCATGCGGAAACTTTCGCGTCTAGGTCGGCCGCGGAACTTTGCGAGCAATTGCGGCGTGATAAGATCAGTATGAAACCGCTCTCGTCTTCGCCACCGAAGCTCATTTTACAACCGTTATGTCTACGGGCCTTACCAGAAACGCTGTGTTGCATTTAAGTAAGTAGGTATGCTCATAGAGTAAAGATTTTGCTAATTCAGTCAAAGGTACGAGGACAAGAGAGAGTTGACAAAGCTGACGTCAATAAATATGCCTGTTTAAGTCAGGAATAAAAATGTAAATCTCATCAATAGGCATACGCCGTGGCCGATATGAGAAATGGTCACGTGGCCGCACGTGGCCATCCGCTTAGTATTTCAAAATTCACTGATAGCTGGGATTTTCCACAATGATTCCCGCCCGGCCACTCAATGCTGAAAGAACTCCAATATCTATTAAATTGTGTAATGCTTAACTAGGTGAACTTTCTTATATTTTATGTAGTAAAAAGGTTTTATTGAATTGATATTGTGCGAAAAATGCCGGTTATTGTTTGTTTCGGCCCGGTTCAAAGTAGTAGTTCAGCGGCGAATTGTCACAACCGCACCACGGCCGTCGGTCGCACTCAATTGTGATTTTTCGCTTATATTGTTTAAAGATCGGCTGGCAAGACTGAGGGCTTGGGCGGCGGTGGCTGTGTTCGCTGTGCGCGGGAGTGCGCGATATGCAAATTACGGCTACCGCGCGGCGGCTATTGTTCCCGAAGCTCATACCATGTAACTTATGGCTACTGCGTGCACAATGAGCACCTTCAATAACGTTTTATTTTGGAGCGCGATCGACGATTGTTCACCGTCGCCGACTTAGGCCGCCGTGAGGCAGCGAAAACGCAGTTGCCTCGCCGCAAAGACTTATAGATTGAATTCGTCCGTTTCGTTTTTTGTTGAAGCATGTTGTACCTATTCGATTTCGTTTCTTCTAAATATATAGTAATTTTGTAAGAAATGAAAATAAACTAATATTTTGTTACTGATTTATTCAGTTTATATTTTTGTGAGATTTCACAGTGTTAGCAGAAGAGAATTCGCTGGTTGTCACCAGCAGCAAACAAGTACTTTGGTCTTGTGCGATTGCTCTATAGATGTGTTCCACTGAAAGGACTTTATGTTTACACTGCGACCGACCGTCTCAAATAAACCTGCGCCAATACAATGTACCTGTACTTATCTATTATCAGATTTTGTGTGAAGGTAATATAAAAGCGTGACCGGGGGCGTACCCAGGTTGTGGGCCAGGGGGGCAAATCAGATTTTTTCAAGCCGGGTCCCGCGCGCTTTTTTTGCATTACACACTACGCGAAGACACCTACACTAAATATTAAATATGTTATACGGAAAGCACCCTCAAGATATTCTGCTAATTCTTTATAGGTGCCTAGTCAAATAAATAAATCAATTAAAATAGGTATTTTTTAATTAATTTCATTAATTATATAGGATAAAAACTATTGTAAAAGTAACTTTCGAGGATCTTTAGCAAAACGGTTTATGACATCTTCCGTAAAAGAATCGCCCATAGCGTATATTATGTACATACACTGAGCATACAAAGCAATGTCTTCGATCTTAGTTGATCCAGCCATTTTTTTGCGCGTCTGAGTGTGCTGAATTACCTTTTAATTGTAGCAGTGGAATAATTTATTAACTATTTATATTGTATTGCAAATTGAGAACTTTTATCGACAACAGTAGATAGTATGGAGGTATACAAGATCTCGGGTACGCCCATGACCGTGACCGTTTCATTAAGGTTTGGTTACAAAAAGCGGAAAAAGAGCCGTATACGTTGAGACTTCTTCTTCTGGCGGTTTGTAACTACCTGGTATGTACATTTATTTTGTTATATTGCATGATATTTGTCCTACTGATAATAAAATGTATTTTAAATTGAAATTATTATTTATTTTCTTTCTTTGTATTAGTGGCAGAGGAAGTGTCGGTTACTTTATTAGCAGAATTAATTTATAAATATCAATGGTGATGTTTTACATTCGTTGTCAGAGGTCCAAGTAAACCAGGAAACAACTTTGAAGTTATGGAAACACCGTGTGACCCGTACGGTGGCTGCTGCAGTAGTCGCGATATAAATCTCCGCGGGACAATGACGACATCATATATCACCGCATCTTACAATACAGGAAGGTCAAAAAATTTTGTGTCAAAAACGCTAGGCGATTGGTTTTTTTTTGGGAGCGATGTTGGATTTGTATTATACGGCTGCTGGCCGGGCTTTATTCTCTTTGCTTTATTGCTGTTTATGAAGTATTTTCTAGGGATTTCTTTGATCTACTGCGTCTAATTTTTTAAAGGTGGCACCTATTAAATTTCTCTATGTCATAGATAGCTTATCATATGACGGAGATGCCCTGTGGCTTTGTATTAGGTTTAAACCAGCCCTTGTTAAAAGAAACCGTGACATTTTTATTACCTCTTCAGCTAAAGTATAAAACACAATAATTGAATAGTAAAAAAGGCTCCACCCGATCTCTTGTGCTTATGAAGCGTTATCCATGATAATGTTATAAGCTGGGGAAGACCATCACCCGAATTGTTCTCGGTGCGCCTTCTCAGGTTTTGTGTTTCTGAGGTCCAGACAAGCCACGGCGGTAAACGTACATCAGTTTTGACAAAGAAGTCGTGCTAAACAGATCGCTATATGAAAACTGTCTCAAGTATATACCCTGATAAAGGATTTCTCACAGCTGACGTTTTTGATAAAATCTATAGTGAAATGTTGCAAAAAATGCATGACATCAGATAAAACACGTCTGGAGGACCGCAATTAATCTATCAGGTATATGCTACAACGGGACCGGGTTTTTTCTGCGTTTCTCGGGGCTCGGCCTTTCCCCGAAATTTCGGTTGTTTAGAGCAAGATCGGGAGAGTGGAGTACGAGGGATGTCGGAAGACACTGCCCTCAGCCTCTAGACGAGTCCAGTCCAAATGACGTTTTGTGATCGCATAAAAAACTTATGACCCGCGCAGTGTTATTTTCTTTTCTCACCATAGGCCTCAATAATGAGTTGCATATTAAAAATGACATCAGGTGCTAGACAATACAAAGGTTAAATATTATTCAGACGTTGATTAAGATTTGTTACTACTCTCTTGTATTTCGAGTCAAAGGTTCGTATTCTAGAACTCTATTCAATGCTCAAGTCAGGATTGTACTGGCAACACAAGCACTGGAAATACGACCCTAAACGCCAGGACTTCAGTATAATTTCTAGTGCTTTAAATCATACTCAAGTCCTGACTTGAGCATTGAGTAGAGTTCTGGAATACGACCCTCTGTAACCTTCATAACAAAACAAAAAAAATTTAAATAATAATTTAAAGTGGCAGTGTATTCTTCATTTCTTTTGTGCATTGCTCACACGTTATTAACAAATAAAATCCTCGCTTTTTTTAATGATTGTAATTAATGAAATTTTTTGTTACTTTTATGTTTTAATTATTTTTTATTTATTTATTTTCGTAGACTGTAATGAGTTGACTCGAAGAATCGGCAGGTGAATAGGTTGTAAGGCTAGCATTCGAAGAGATTGGTGATTTATTTCGTATCGGTCCAAATAAAAACTATTTCTTTTTATCTGCGCGTTTGGTACTTTTGAACAATTTTTATCTGTCCATGTTAAAATGTACAATATGGTACTGAACAAATCTATGGCCTTGCTCCGACTTGCATTTAACCTGTTTTTATAAATTCCGTGTGTTATAATATACCTTACTATACACCTTCCTTCCTACTTTTACTCCTGCAACATAATGTACAAGTGGTTTTTTAATGGCAGCGGTAATAGTGTGTACACATTGTAAAGGTAGCACTGCACTGGTGCAAAATGTATAACTAAAAAATATAAGTAGTTATGCATGTAAGCAGTTCGAGTCGTGTCGGTAGGTAACAGAGCGGGCACTACTGCGCAGTTGGTGAGCCCGATCCAACAAACAAGAATACGAATGAGTCGGCCGGCCGCTGGCCGCTGCCGCTGGCGTCAGCGCATCTACAAATCAAATCGAGTTCAAATATTTATGATTTCAGGAAATCTCGCCACCGTTAGGTACGTACTCTCTGCTCGAGTGCATACGCTTAGCATATGTTGACGATGTTTTTCCAAATTATCCCAAACTGTATGCTCCTGACCACATATAATCAGTTCTGCATACGTAGTATGGCCACCGCGATAGTGACATATGTCCACGTCCATTTGTCTGATTCGAGAGGCTGTCTAGCCATTTAAAAACTAAATCACAATAGCGAGCATGGCGCACGTGGTCACTTCAGATGTAGGTACCTATGAAGCTTCGCGTGCGTGCGACAATCTCTGGCTGTGCCGAACGTAGCACGAAGATGATGACTACGCACCGAGCGTTACTCTTTGGGCGTGATAATAATAATACTTTATTTCAGTTAGTAAAGAACTTAGGAATAAGGTTAGTGCGATGCAATTCAAAAGTTGTATCCAGTGGCCCTGGATGGAGCAGTCAATTCTAT